AAGTACTTTACATCATCGTTCCATTTAATCTTAATCACCTATAAAATAGGTATTGTTACTCCCTTATAGAGAAGGAAACAAGCTTAAGAGAATTAAGGTAATTTGTCAAAGTCTACACAGCAAATATTAAATGGTGGCAACAAATTCCAATTCTGGCCTGCCTTCAAAATCCTTAACCACTGTTACTAACTACCGTATTTCACAGAATCCAAACCGTTACGTATGTACCATTAAAAATAACCACAAAAATGCTTAGAATTATAATTGTGCAATCCACAGAAGACTGACCAAGGTGTTAATGTGTGAAGAAATGTGGGTAGGAGGGCAGAAGGTTGATCGCATGAGCTGGTGTCTCAGAATCAATGATACACAATATCATTCTATACTGCCTTTCAATATGGTGCCTCTCAGAATGAAGAAATAGTATGAGTTGAATGAAGAATACCACTTAGTTCTGGGATGTTCTTGAAAACAATACCCTCAGGCTGCACTAAAATAATACTTTTCTAAGACTTAGCTTTAATAAGAATGTATTTGCAGATTAAATCACTTTATATCTTCCTCGCTGTCACCACATTGGAATGTTGATAACTATTACTATTAAGTTTAAATTAAAGCTATTCAGAGGCAAAGATAGTGATAAAAGCACAGCTTATGTATTCTAAGGACTCAGAAGTGTGAATTAGCAAAATAGCAGCTGAGTCCACGGTCAGTACCAGTAACTCAACCCCAAGGTGCAGAGAAATTCTTCCCTTTCTCTTTTTATTCAACTGCTAGGTTCCTAACACTGGGCTAATTTTCACTACTGCCAATTACCTATTTCACCTGGCCTTTCTCCTGCTCAGGCTAAATGTGAAATGCAGTATTTCTAAGTTCTTAATGTTTTTTCAATAATTCTCCATACCAGCCCTTTCCATTTTCAAGGATTTTATTATCCTTTCTTAAACACACTGGTCATTACAGAAGAGAAAGGCAGGAATAAACCTTAGGAAAGTTAAAACAGTTTAACACAGGTAAATTGCCCAGGACTTCCTTTCTATGTTTGGAGTCATACTGTCTGTATTTGCAGGAGTGGGTGGGGTTCGTTGCTGCTCTACACAAACAGCAGATCTATATCCTGGATGACTCTTATAGTACAGAACACCATGATGAATTAGGAGTCTATTCCATCTCATAGGGATTTAAATGAACAAACGCACGTGAGGCGCAAGAAGAAATAATCATGAATTTAAAAGAAAATGATTTTTGTATTCGCTTTGGTTACATTCTAACTGGCACAAGAGCAAGAGGAGTGGAGAGACACAAATGCATACTAGAGCTATGGTGTGACTAAAACTGTGGATCAGTGCTATACAAGCATAAAGTGTGATGAAAAAAGTACACAGAGGTGTGATTATATCTGATTTTCCACATGTGTAAATGAGATGTGAATTAAGCCTTACATTTTTCATCTAAACACTTTACAGAGAAGGAAATAGGGATACTAAGGTTCAGAGTAAATTAATCTGCCTTTGATTAGTCGGGTATGAGAAATGAAAACTAGAAAACAAATTACCTTAAAGTTTAGTGTCTTTTCACTAAGCTGCACTATACCATAAGTATGAATTCAATAAGCAGAGTCCACAAGAACACAGAGACTGTAGGAGCATAGTTCTTCAGGATATTTAATACTGTGGTTGAGGGGGTTAATATAGCACTGTTACTTGATGGCTTACTTGTGTGTAAGTTAGGATACTCCTCCATGGTGGGGCCCCTTCAGAAATGGATGGAAAAAGTTTCAGCCTGGTTTGTACTAACTAACTAGTTCAGAGTTGTGCTGTCACCAGCAGATTTCTGATTCAGATCAGCTCAAGCATCTGTGTATCTTAACACTCTCTAGTTCCATTCTCACATACACATCCAATTAGAAGTACTGGTATGAAGCTTATTAGAACATAGGGTTGATACATTCTTAGCACGTCTTAGACTTCCATGTTTTCAAATAGGGAGAGTAAAAAACTATAGTACTAACTCCATGAATTTAGGTAGTACAGGTGAAAATAAAACTAGGTGGATGGCTTGGAAACTTCAGGGCTTAATAAATAGTTGGATTTGGAATTTGAAGGGAAAGAGGAGAATTGAAAATAATTTTTGGCTTGGGCAACTGGGAAGCTGAAACACAATCACACAGATTCTGGTAATTCAAAGGGTGAACCAGGAAGCCATTATTTCTAAGGAGATGCTGGTAGGCTCAATGAAGGATAGACAATAAATGGATCTGAGTTATTTAAGAAGTAAAAGGGCTTCCCAGGTGGCAGTGGGCTGAGCACCACACTCTGAAGCTGTCCACAGCCTCTGCAGCGCGGGTTTGATTCCCGGCCTGCCAGGGAGAAACCCACATGGCATGGCAGACCTCTCCTGCCTCACCCGCTGCTCCCCTCAGCAGTGTCTTTGGTCAGTCTGCCTGTTCTGCTCCCCGCTCTGTCTCTGGTGAATTCTCTCACCCTCCTGCGCCTCTGACCTGTACCCTGGTTCTTGTATAAATAAATAAATCTTTAAAAAAAAAAAAAAAAAAGGAAAAACTGTAAAACTAGGTAATTACGTTGTAGTCTGCATCTTTAAATTATTGTTTTCAGGACAAAGATCTAGAAATAAAATTGAGGACATGAATTGGCTGACTGTGAGATATATAAGGAAAGGAAGGAGTCAAATGTGACATCCAAGTTTCTTGCTTGTCTTCTATGGATGGCCAGTGCATTAGATTGTTTAACAGCCTTAAGTTCCCACTATTGTGATATGTATACCTCTTCGCAATGTGACTGTGTCACTCATCCCACACTGATAGTTTATTTTTCCATCCATGAAAGCTAGGCTAGTCTTGGGATTTCATTTGAAAAATATGATGTGGTAGAAATGATATATGTCATTTCCAATGCTAGGTCTTAGGAAGTATTGTTTTGCTCTTTAGAAATGCTACTTCTACCACAATGGAGTTCTGCCATGTTGGAGGCAGTTTGACCTACTGGATGGAGGATGAGCAGTCACCTGGAGGAGAACCAAGTCGGACTACCCTGAAAGCACCATCTGTGACCTCTCAAACCAGCTGACATACTAGTTTAACACAGCTGCCAGAGGATATCTAGAAACTGTTCAACAGATTCACAGAATTATAAAGAAATAGTGATATTTTAAGCTACCAAGTTTTGGTGAGGTCATACAGCCAGAGATAACTGAAACAAAGAGATTGGGAAATCAGAAGGCAACTTAAAATGCCTTTATATCTTTGAATGGCAGTGAACTAGTAGGGTCTTCCAGTAAATTCTAAGGCACCAAATGCTTGAATAATAGAATATTTAATAATAAGGGATTTAAGAGCATCCACTTTTACTTCTTTGGAAACAGGCAAGATGCTTCAAACTCCTTTATAAAAGGAAAACAGAGGTGTTTATAGAAACATTCAGTAAAGACCCTAACTCCTCAAACCTTAAATTTAAATTGATAGGTCAATTTAAAAATGACAATTTTTTTCTCAGTAAAGAAAATATCTAAAAAGTTAAGCTGACACAGGAAACATGTACAAGTTCCCAAGACAGTGGTCATTAAAAAAATAATAAAAAAAACCCCAACAACACTATTATTCACATAGTAAAACGTGGTCTGCAAAGTTCATGTAAAGAGGTAACCAATACTTAGTTGTTTTGGCGAATGAGCAGGGAAAAAGTCTTTATTCAGTCAAAGATTAAGAACTATCCTGTTACTGGAGAAAAATTAAATTAAAAACCTAATTAACACTATCTGATTTTAAACGTGATGTAAACTTTTTCTAGAAAATCCATTTTAAAAATAACGCTAGAACAGCCCCTTTCATTACAACAACGTTGTTCAAAACCACAAATAGCACTGAAGTTCACCCTGCAGTATGTGAATGCCAGAGAGAACAGAGATTAAAAACTAGGTCTAACAGTGAGGCAGAGCCCCCTAACAGTAAGGGAGCGAGAACAGAAGTGTACTGTGGACCACAGAGGGCTTTCCTCTAAATTTTGGGAGTCTTATCATAGGGAACTGGTCTCTGTTTAAAAATAATACACATTGCTTTCTACAATTTATTTTGGTTTTTTGTTAGCCGCGTAACTGAAATTGCTTTTGGCCAAAGTTCTGCAAGAGAAGTATCCAAGATAGTCTTGGGTCAGAAGAAAGAACGGGTAGAAAACCCGCAGCGGGCAGCAACGAGCATCCAGGGAAGCAGCCACGTCGCACTCCGGCCGCAGCAGCAAAGGAAGCCCAGCCCTTCCATCCTTTCTAAGAGTGGCTCCCACACTGCACGGAACGTCCCGTCTTCCTCAGTGCACTCCCCCCACTCGCCCTGGGACTGCCGCGGAGGTGATCTCCACTCACCGCTTGAAGCACAGACGCCAAAAGCAACCGCAGCCCAAACGCTGGCCCGAACCACCCAGCTCGCCCGCCCGCTATCGCCGCCATCTTCCGTGGGTCTCTGGCTGCCCGGAGGACCCCTCAACTAGGGGCGTCCACTCCAGAGCCTGATCTAAACAAATTGCCAACGGCCATTGCCATCAAATCTCCTATTCTACGGAGACGGGTCTCACGTAAAGGTATGTGCAAGCTTAAAAGTGATCAAACATCTTTATACTTAATGGAACGCTGAAGAACCCGGGCCCCTTAGAGAACCCAAATCAGGCATTCTCCTAACCCCCCCAAATCCGTGCTTCCCTGGGCTCCTTCCTTTCATTCACGACATTTCGTCAAGCCCCCAAGGAGCCCCGCCCTCGTCAGTTTCGGCCCGCCTCCTTCTCCAAATTCACCAATCGAATGCCGCTTTGGTGAAGACTGATGGCAAAGGCAACCAACCGTAACACTAATCCAGAGCGAAGCCCTGGGGTTCTTCGGTCCAATAAGCACAACCAAACGCAGCAGGGGGTGGAGCCTTCGGTTGCCGAGCAGCGTACGTGGATGCGTGCGCGTGGTGGCGGAGGGGGATGGGCGGGGGCGGGGCCGCGGGCGGCGCAGCCGCAGCGCTGCTGGAGGAGCGCGCGGCCGCGAGCCCGGGAGGGAGGGTAGGCAGGAAGAGAGGGAGGCGGGCGGGCAGGCGGGCGCGGGGGTCGGGGACTGAGGCAGTAGAGGGAGGCGAGAGCCCAGCAGCCGCTTCGCGCTGTGTTTGCTGCGCGGGCTTTTGGAGGAGGTGGCCGTCGAGTCGGCCGAGGAGCAGCGGGCAGCGGCGCTGTGGGTGCTGGTGCCTGGGGGCGGGGGACTGGGGAGGCGAGAAGGGGGGTCGCTGCGGTGGTTCTTTGGCCGTCGCGCTCTCCTCGCCCCTTTCCCTCCTCGGGGGGTTCCTCCCGGCAGCTCCCTCGCCTCCGGGGCCCCGCTCCCGGCCCCCCGCGTTATGTCTTGATCCCGAGCAGCGGGTTTCATGGGGCTCCTCAGGATTATGATGCCGCCCAAGTTGCAGCTGCTGGCGGTGGTGGCCTTCGCGGTGGCGATGCTTTACTTGGAGAACCAAATTCAGAAACTGGAGGAGTCCCGATCGAAGCTAGGTAAGGAGCAGAGCCACTCCGAGTGGAGTGTTTTAAAAGGGGCCGGGCCGGGGAGGCATTGCCGCGGGAGCCAGTGGCGGTGGAATGTCTAACTTGGGGTCTGGCTCGGGGGCTGGAGGCTGCAAGAGGCTGCAAGGAGAGCTGGAACTCGGGGTGTCGAGGATCCGAGCTCCAGGAACGGTGTGCATTAAGCTTGAGTTGCATGCTGGCCTCGCGAGGTCACTGGGCAGAGGTTGCAAGGTTCGGCTTCTTGGAGCTGAAGGGTTACCCCGAAGTAGGCATTCCACGGGGAGAGAGAGAACAAGCGAAGACTGAACTCGCTGGGAGCGGGTGCTGCTGGAGGAGACCAACGCTCAGCCTTGGTGTGCTCTAGAAGTCGTTTAGAAAGCCCGGGCAATGTCAGAGGAGGGGTATTTAATTTGATATGTGGGCACCTGGGAATGTGATCTCTTGCACAGGGGGAGGTTTCCGAAGAGCTAGATGTGCAGAAATGGAGGGAGATGCTTGGAAATGATGGTGGGTAAAATAAATACACTGTAGTGAGTTGCACTCTTGTGTTGGGGGCAGCAAGGGACCACACAACTGATGGGAGAATTAAGCTACCTAACCAGGTAGGACAGGAAAGCAAATTAAACGCTTCAATGAGTACCGTAAGAAGGCACCCAGGCATTTAAATTCTTTCTTAGCAGAATTAAACTTAATATTTTGAGGTGAAACGGGATGCATATAGGTACGTTGCTGCAAGACGGTGTTGATGTGAATTTAGAAGAGGAGCGAACCTTAATAGGGAAATTAGAGTGAAGTTTAAGAAAGATGATGCGCAAAGGTGAACCATAAAGTTAAGTACCTTCAGGAGTTAACTGCTCTCTTTAATCAGTGAAGAGGTCTGAAGGACAAAAAGTTGGAGTGTGAATTTGTGAAAGACCAAAAAATACACAAATAGGTAATTTCAGGTTAGTACTGAACTTTGGCATTTGGAAGAACTCGGGATTGGGAGGGAGTGTTAAAAGAATGCCAGATACAAATTTTGATTCAAAAATGTACATGACACTTAAAAAATCAGCTCAAGAGGCTGTAATTTGATATGGAAAAGTAATTTGAAGTGTTTTTTATGCATGCACTTTCACCTTATTTTCATTTGAAATACTTTTGGAGAACTAAGCACTAAAATAACAGCAGTAGAATAATTTAGACCAAGAAATAACAACTAGATGCTGCTGTGGGTGGCTAATATTTAGGAAAAATGTATCAAAAAATAATGGTAATATTACATATAGAGGCTGCCTAGTTGTAGACTGCAGGAAGCTATGGAGATTTTTCAATAGCAGCAGGCTAAAGAGCATAAAATACCTCTAACTGAAGTGCAGCTAAAAGTGAAGAGGAGCTAAAGGTAATGCCAGCCTTCAACTCTGGGGTAAAAATTACTCTGTACAATTTTGAAGAGATAATTATATTTACGTACTAGGATGATATTAATGTGTAACTTACATGATGGAAAAACATTCACTTTAAATATTGAAGGTTGACCAAATAATTTTTATTGTTTGGATCCATTTAAATGACATTCAGATTCTATTCTGGCTTCATTAGTTGATCCAGCTTTACAGAAAGAAATAATTCCCCTTAGAGAAAGTTGGAAGTTGTATTAACATGTGCACCTACTCTTTTGTTACTTGAATTTTTTATACACATTGCTATGGATTAGGATAACTTCAGTTTTTGATTTTCCTTCTTCCTTGCCTTGCGTTTTTTCATAACACTTGAAAATAGTTGCCTTAGACACAACTTGAATGACTTTAAAAAGATGTAGAAAGTCACAGGTAGAAATATTTTTTTTCATGATTTTTTTTAACAAGAAAGAAATCTTTGAATTCTATCAGAAATAGTGAATCAAAAATAGTTAATTCTCAAAAGTGAGCCAAGGAAAGGAGCCTTAATACAAAACACTTGAAGCAACTAATAATTTTCTGGAGTGGTACAGAAACATGGCATATAAAGTGTTTAACTTTATGTTAGCAGTCTTGATTTAAAAAAAAAAAGGCAGAGGCAGTATTAAAACAATTGTTGCCAGTTAGTAATCTTTCTTAGGAAAGGAACAGACATATTCAGTACTGTTAACAGACATATTCAGTACTGGGTACTTTCATATGTGATGATATTTAATCTTCCAAGTACACCACAGAAAGCCATTTTTACAGATGAAGGAACAGATTTTCAGATTACATAACTTGACCATATAACTAGTAAGTGGCAGAGCCAGAATTGAAACCCAGTTATGTCTGATTCCAAATCAAGTGCTCCTTAAATTATACCAGACTGTTTGGTACTTTCTGTTGACATGACAGTACGATTTAGCAGTTTGAATAGAATTTTTAAACTGTAGTACCAATGTTTAATTGCATTTATTACTAAGAATGAATGCCATTCTAAGAAAATCCAATTTCTGACACAAAGGAATTGGTTTAGTGTAATGCCTGCCTCTTGTTTATATCCATATAATAAACTTAATTATATTACCCATTGAAACAACTGAAATAGTTTATTTCTGCTACAGAAAAAAAAAAGCTAGTTTTCTGTAAGTGTAAAATTACAACATTAAAAATCATTTTTTATTTTGGCATCATAAAAACTGTTGAACATTTTGCCCTTAAAAGTAGTTTTGTGGGCCTCCCCGGTGGCACAGCGGTTGAGTGCTGGGTTGTGAAGCTGCCCGCAGCCTCTGAAGTGCCGGTTCGATCCCCGGAGGAGGGTCCCACATGTCACGCAGACCTCTCCTGCCGCCTGCTGCTCCCCTCAGCAGTGTACTTCAGTCTGCCTGCTCTGCTCCCCGCTCTGGCTCTGGTGAATTCTCTCACCCTCCTGCGCTTCTGACTGTACCCAGTGCTTGTATAAATAAATAAATAAATCTTTAAAAAAAAAAAAGTAGTTTTGTGTTGTTATCTTTTCTGTTACAGAAGATTCCAAATAATCGAAAAGTTTATAATACCTTGTAGGCACCTTGACGTGAGAGTATTTTGATGGTGAAATCCCAAGTAAAGCTTTAGATGTATTCAAACTTAGTTGTAGTCATTGACCACTAGGGAAATTAAGTTTATAAATTGGATTTCCTAAACTATCCATTATCACATAACACAGTTGTTTTTATTTTCATTTTTTTAAAGATTTATTTATTTATGCATACAAGAGCTGGATATAGGCCAGGCGGGGGTGCATTGAGAGGATTCACCAGAGATCGAGTGGGGAGCAGAACAGGCAGATTGACTGAAATACATTGTTGAGGGGAGCAGCAGGCAAGACAAGAGAGGTCCACTGTGCCATGTGGGTCACCTTCCTGTCTGGGGATCGAACTCATGCTGCAGTAGTTAAGTTAGCTTAATAGTGCTGACGCTTAACCCCTTGTGCCAGAGGTCCCATAACATAGTTGTTTTTAATCTTTGTTCTCTTAAATAATTATGGGATCATGGTGTGCATATTATTCAGTTGCTTTTACAATTTGATATTATAGACATATTTTAGGTCAAAATACATAAATTTGACTTATTCTAATAGCTATATAGTATTACATACTGTACATGTATCATAAATTATAATACCATATGCCAGTAATGGACATTCAGTTTGTTCCCCCCCCCAACTTATTTTTTAACTATTCCTGTTTGTATTATAAACAGTGTTAAAGAAACACCCTTATTTGCCCATATAGCTCCTTATGTGTTGGTATTATTTTTAACCAAGAATAAGTTGTGTGTGGGATTGCTGGGACAAAGGATATATGTCTTGTATAATTTCACAGATTTAAAAATCTGTTATTTTCAAAAAAATTTATTTTCCAGAAGGTTAGAGTAATCTACACTGACAATAAATTCACAAGTACTAGATGCTATCTGCTTTTAATTTTTGCCAGCCTGAAGCTGTGAAATGATATAATCTTGCATTAACTTGCATTTCTCCAACTTCTAATTAGGTTGAACATCTTTTGCTTATTACTTCATTTTCGTTATTGAGTAATTTATTTAACCAGTTTTTAGGTTTCTTTTCAAAATATGAGAATTAGTTATCTTTTATTTTTCATGTGTCTTGCATCTGTTTTTCTCCAAGCCTGTACATTGCTTAAACAGAAGTTATAAAATTTAGTCAAATCTTTCAGTTTGGAGAAATAGGCATCTTAACTTGCTTAAGAAGACTTTGCCCAAACAAGATTATGTGTATTCTCCACATTTTGTTATAATTATTTTATAATTTTTATTTTTTTACATTTAGGTCTTTATAGCATTCTTATATTTATTGGGGTTTATTGTAATTTCAGTGAATAGTCACTTATGGCAAAAATTATACTAAGAAATAATCCATTTCTCCCCACTGTATGTTACAAATTCTTCTTTAATCGTTTATTAAGATTTTGGACTCTATTCTTTTCCACTAAACAAAGATTTCTTTAAACATCAGGGACCCATATCTAGATATCAAGGCATCCATAAAATCCCTGAAATTATATTAATAGCTTTAATCAGATTTGCAAAGTGTTGTGTGATCTCCTTAATGGTGAGAATCACTGATTTGTAGTAGGTGTCTCATATTTAATGGAGCAGAGTGTGCTTATTGTTTTTTTGATGACACGTGGTTTGTGAGTTAAATTTAGGATACAAGTACATTAGTAATGAAAACATTTTCCTGGGGTGTTATGTTGAAAAAGCTTTGTTAAAATATATACTTAATTTTTCTGTAAAAAGTTGAAGACAGCATAGAGGGAAAATGAAGATGCTGTGACTTAAAACTGTGCATGTCAGAATTTGTTGCTTTTAAAAAGTATGGTTCTTTCTGCAGCTCAAGAGCACACCTGTTGCTGTGCTGACTGATAGAACAGTGCCATGAAACCTTTGTTACATAAATGTTAGAATTATGTGTTTGATAATTTTATTTTCTGTAATATTTGCTGATCATGTGCTTGTAATACTATTGTTTAAGTTCATAAATACGTTAGGATATGACCTTTTTAAATG